GCCAACTAGCGCACCGACGCATTGTCCATCCAACTGTAAAGCTCTTTCAAATGCAAGTCGCGCTTTCTCTTGATTATTCAACTTCATAAAACAATGCCCCATTCCCAATCTAACAGCGGCTGGACAGTTTGGATTAGTTCTAAGGGCTTTCTTATAAAATGCAAGGGCACCTCTGTAATCTTTTTTGTTAAAAGCAATGCAAGCTTTGCCGAGCAGAGAAGGTATGTTATTTGGCGATTGATTTAATACAAAATTAAACTGTGCATCAGCCTGCTCCATTTTGTCACCTTCGAGCAAGCAGAAATAAGCTCGACCGAGTAAATGATTCTACAATGAAAAAACGATAAATATAAAAATTAAGATACTACTATGGATATTACTATTCAAACGCATATGATAATACGTACTTGATCATACATGATAATCTTGTCAGCTGTTGTATACAATAATGTAGCTTTTGTAAAGAGATCTCTTTTTTTATCTTTATTCTTTTCTTTGTTGGCTTCCTGGACATAATAGGCAGCCAACATGTCAAGGGCCCGCATCTGATCTTTTTCATAGTCACGGTAATCAATATTTGCATCAATACGAGAAGATTCAAGTATCTTAATGAAATCATCAATTTTTTGTTGCTTGTAATATTCAAGCTGAAATAAGAAATAAACTTAGATAGATACTAACATACATTCCTTTTCTATTAGAATTATCTGTTATACATACGGCCAAATTGACCCAGATATTAAGTTGAGCATGTTCCTGTCGCAGAATTCCCAGAACTTCATCTCCATCTGGTAACTGATCTAAATAAAGTTCTATGACCTATGATTGAAAAGAACAATTACAATCTTAGCAAAGATACATACGACTATATTTCTTAATTCTATTATTTTCTGATTTAATGTTTGTATATATATGTATATGTATATATATATATACTTTACAAGTAATATAAAAATCAGATAAGCATTTGAATTATAATATTATAAAATTAATAAGAAATATAAAAGTTACATATTGCAGAAATGAGGAGAGACAGGAAAGTTGTATAAATGTATAAATATTATTGTGCACTTCTGTCATTTTCTTATGTTAATATTGATATTGATAGATACATGAAGATTATTACATTTTACTAACATATTAATATCATATAATTGCATTGTAATATCAAAATATCCATAAAATAAGTAATATTTAAAACATAACGTATTAACATAGAAATAATGATAGAAAAATTACATATGAATATTTTATATTTCTATCATTTTCTGATATATGATAGTGTTTATATTGATCTACAAGACTAATATTACATTTATTATTATCTATTATTATATATAACTGCATGATATCTAATATCAAAGTATCCATGAATGCAAAATTCATGGAACAAATAATATTTGGATCATAACATAAGAATAAAGGAAGTGTGATATTTAAATTATAATTTGCATAATATCACAATTATTCATATATAAGACAATTATTACAAGAATTATTTAAAAACACATAAGTACGATTAGATGATATTTTGAATTGAAAGCTATATACTGACAATACAATTGTCACAGACAGAAAAGATTGTTAACAGTACTTGAAAATGTGCAAGTGATATTGGATTATTCTAGATGGAAAGTCATAGGCTTATGATTTATACTCGTACAAATATACTGATAGAGAATTATGCAAGTGATATTAAATTATATTTTAGCTGGAATATTAAGATTCACATTTGTACCATTGTCACAGGTAAAAAGAATTAAAAACACTTGGAAATATAAACAGACGAAATTGAATTTGTATTTTAAATATTATAGACTTATAACCTTACCGATACATAACATGCAATTATTACAAAGAAAAATTCAACGATACATATAAACATATACGGGGCAAATAAGAGAGTTTAAAGTAAACAAAGTAAGAATAATTTATTAACGCCGAGATGTTAAAGCAACATATTGCTATCCGAATGTATGCACGTGAAATATAATATTTATTCAACCAGGAGAAGCGTGTTCTTATTTTGAGGTTAGGTCTGTATGGACGTCGCTGATTATTGCAAAAATTTTAGTCTTCCAATTCTATTGCACTCAGGATCACATATAGATATTATAAATTAATGATATAATCAATAGAAAAAGCATATTTACCTCGTCTGTATCGCGGAGTGGTATCTCTATAGACCCCGCCATTGTAACATATTTTCACGTTAGGGCGATTAAACCTTAGAGCACATAGCATAGTTATAAGTACATACAGTATAGACACTGACCATCGGTACCTTTGATATAGTGGATCCCAGGTCACATGACTCGCCGCCATATTGTGGATTGGAAAGGCGCTTATAAATTTGGGTTTTTATAAAGCTACAGAATGATTTTTCTAAAAAAAAAAAGACATAGTTCGGTCGTGTCATGAAAATTGTTTATAGCAAGTATATTTTTAAATCAGATTTATATAATAATATAATGTTAACGAACTCATTATATAAAGATAATATTCACATTAATAATAATAATAATAATATTAAACAATAATAAGTAAATTAAAAATATTAATTAAATACTATATGAAAATTGTAATTAAATGTAAAGTTATAATTTAATAATATACGTACACACAAATGCATACTTTATTACGAGAATAAATACTTTATTGTATACAAATATAACAGTCTACACAATATAGCGTCTCCGAAAAAATTTGATTTAATTTTTTAGTAAAACTTAATTTTATTAATTACATTTTATGAGGAGATTCAGCTAATCTAACTTAACCTGCAATTTCAACTTACTGAAGGCAGCTATATTACTGGTTGGAAATCGACGCATGCGCACTAAAAATTGGAGACCACATAAAAAGTTCAGTGTCTATATTGTATGTACCAGAGAGAAACCTGAGAAAGGACATGACGACCCGAAATCTGTCACAAATGCTGCCGCGCACTACTGCCCTCCGACAAAGTGGATGTAAACTATATAGCAACGTCCACTTTTCTTATTGATAGTGATATTATTCTAATACTTCCAAAAAATGTCTCATGAATTTTAAGATGTTTTTATGATATTTTATGATATATTATATTCTCAATGTTCTCTGGACAATTACTTTTTTACTTTTTACAGATTCGAAAATCTTTTTCCAGGATTGAAGTACAATATGTGTCTGTGAGGTAGAGTTTATGCCGAGAATGATAAAAAAATTTTTCTTAAGATTTCAATTTCGAAATTTTTTGTTGTTCTCGGAATAAATTCCACTTCACAGACACGTATTAATGTGTATACTTTAAGCTTGGAAAAGAATTTCCAAAAGAGGATTTCTATGAAAGAGGAAAAAAGTAATTATACAAAAAAGACGATTTTAATTTTGGAAAATCTTTTTTGTTAGACCTTTGATCACAATTTCGCAAGATCAGAGTTATTTGTGCATGTCGTACGCTTCCGGGGAAGATATCATTTGATACGTACGACCTATTTTTGTACTATAGGGGAATTATAACTTGAGGTGACAGTTGTGAGAGCTGAAATAAAGTAAACTTTTAATTTTTTCCTCGATTTTTTCGTCAAATTTAGTGCGGTGTTTTTTGTGCATATCTTTATTATGTAAAAGGATTTCATGAGCTATAAATTCGGAGAAATTGGCAATCTGCAATTGTCAGTAATTCCTATTGTTTAAGATCTTCTTAAACTCGCAAATCAGCAAAATTAATGGAACTTGTAATCAATCAAGAAGTAGCAATGAGTTTTCTAAAATTTCTTTCTACAATTTTAAGTATGGGAACATTAAGTGAGAAAAATTAAATTCTCACAAGTTAGCAATGTTATTAAAAAATTAATTTAAATAAAGAATAATGCATTTTAAATCTAAAGAACACTAAAATCTAAACTAAAAGAATTTCAGTAAATACTAGAATTTTAAGATAGGAAGAGGGAATTTTTGCTGAATTATCACTTTGTCTTCTATAATATTTTCAACATTAATTACGTAAGATTAATTTATTGATTGATCGTATAATAATATGAATTAGTATGGTGTAACAATAAGGTCAAAGTTGTGTCAAGTTTGGATTTTCTGCTCATTTTGTAAATATATTGTGAAATTTCATTGTGATTAGTTATCTCAACAAAAAAGGTGGATTATTCACGAGAATATTAGATTTAGTTGTTATTACATTTCGATATTGTGCGCGCAATAGCGGAATACAAATAAGTATTTTGTTATAATTATTGTAAATATTATCCGCACTGGTAATGATGTTTGTTCATTGCAGTCACAAATCGTACTATTGTAGAAGAATAGAATAGCGTAGCATAATTACATAGTTGACTTACATTTATTGTATTAATTAGGTCGAGTTCGTCGGATTGAATTATGTAAAGTTTTCTCCTCGCTCAGCCCTCATTTTATCAGCGTAACTTATAAGTTATAAATATCTCTGTATATACTACAGTATATCGATCGTATAATCATAACAAACTTCCACGAAGGTAATTCGTGTTAATATAAAAAATTTAAGTGAAAATGAGTATACAATGTACGTAAAACGAGTATATGTTTTACATTCGCATTTTCCTAATTCTACGATCTAAGTGTTTATAGACTTTAACATTTGGCACGTTTCGTTCTTACAGAATTAGTTCACATTTTTATAAATAATACTAGGAATGTTTTTGATTCGAAAGAATATATTGATATCTACGATTGGTATATATTTTGATTTTATAACCGTCTTTGAATTGAATTCGATTATAGATGAATATACACACAAAAATATGTGATTATTACGAAATGTTTTAATCTTAAATATTAGTTGTCAATGTATAATATGCATATTGAAAGAGTTCAATTAGATAATTACACATACATGTACAGTAAATAAAATTATTTTTTATTATCAAACTATAGTTGTTATGCTGTCCAGATTTATTTTGCCACGCGCGCGAAAATTATAAAGTTAATTATAATTGTTACAATAATTAAGTTATATTGTAACGAATAGTATTTTTTCATATTATATATTTATAATATAAAAAATAAATTGTACTTATTTACTAAATAACGTCTAATCACATTATCGGATTACAATTGAAAGACGGTCCAGTTATCATTTCTCTATTAAGTACAATTAACACTGTGTAATAATAATTTCACACAGATATCTAAAAGAAGTCTTTAGACTGTGTGCTAGCGTTCGTAATTATGATGTCGACATACAAACATCCTTTCGTGCTTTCTAAGGGCTCCGTTTCAAGAAGTCGAGAAGTTCGCGAATGAATGAATCGCATGGTATTCTATTCTAGGCAGTCGTTTTCTTCCGCTTATTAATTACAGGCAGAACCACTGTTCCCATTCGCAGCCTGAAACCGTCACAGATTTCATTTACACCTCCAAAAATAGATAAAGAAGAACGAAGAGATCACTCGCTATCGCAGGCAGATTACCACGAAAAGTTTTCTTTTTGTGTACGCGGGCAATCATTTAGACATTACTTTAATCCATAGCATCACGCCTGCTATCAAACACATAATGATATAATCTAAAACTTATGCAATTATTAATTTTATTTGTCGTGTGATTTTATTGCTTTTGTATGAATCAGTTACGTTATGCGATTTATTTCTGTTCAAAAAAGCTATAATTTTTATAAAATGAGTTTACTAAATTTTAAAGAATTACGGTAGCGTAAAACTGAGTCTCATGTTGCAACACGAAGCATTATTGAAAATGGGTAGATTTCGAGAAAATGTTCAATCGTGTGGATTCTATCTGCCTCGGAATATCACGCGAACCTTGCGCTCGCGTCAAGTTCATTCCCGATAAATATCAGGGCACACCGGTACTCGTATCGAAAAATGAATTGGACGAGACACGCGGCATCGATCTTGATGCTACCTTTAGATTTGCTTGACTGCCGTAGAAAGAGGTGAAGGCCGTGTCGGAACTGACGCTAAGTGGTAGGCTTGTTGCGTCCATCGTCTCTCTCTCGCTGCCGAGAGTGGATGCCCTTATATCGAGAGTACCACTCACGCCGGACATTCCGGAACTCGTAGCCATCTCCACTTCACCAACATCGGGATGGGACATGTGTCTTGAGAATAAAATAATGTTACGTTAATGCATTCGATAATTCGTTTCGGAATTGATTCGCATGATGTTTAATAAGATTATTTTTACCTATAATCCGGAATCGGCGGTTCAATGTGCTGTCTCCGTGAGTTCGACGACATTGGTGTTCTTTTTATGGCGTAAATGTATATGCCGGTCATCGTGAGTGCGTACGAAACGAAGTACAAAGCGTGAAACTGGAGAAGACGAAGAAAGACTTCAATACTGATTTATATTATTTTTATTTACGGAAAGAATGATTTTGCTAAAATGCTAGTTGTAAAAAGCTAGATACAGATCGGAAAGTAATTGTTTTGAACCATTGAAATGATTATGTAGAATAGTGAAGCATGATGAATCATACTGCAAAAGTTTTGATATTAAGTAACCAACTCGAGTACCTTACAGCATTATTTTGATATTATTTTGTTAGTATCACAAATTATTTTCAAATCTATATTTAAATTTTAAAATATTTCACTGTTTTTTCCGTATAAGCTAACTTTACTTTGATGAAAAGATATTGCAGCGTAAATATTCTAGAAGTATTGAATAATACCTTATATTTAATGTATTTAAATGAGAACACTATCGATCGCGCAAAGGAAATGATGACATTTGTGCGAATCAATAGCTTACCTTGTAATGATGATTAAGCATTCCAGCTAATATATTGAAGGAATCTGAGGTGAGCAGCGCTAGTTGCAAGGCGGTAGCACCAGATTCGAACAATATTACTGGCACCAAAGAGAAGAACATGAATTGCGTGATGCAATAGAGAACCAGGATCGTTATTACTGGTACGTTGTCCCAGTGAAATGCTTCTATTTGAAACCTTTGGAGTACGGCGCTGTAATGACGTGATCAATACAAAAATGTCACTCATTCAAAGCATTCCTCTGAAAACTTTTAATATCCATTATGATTTACTACTTACGTTTGCATGCAGCTCAGTATCGTACCGAAAAAACCAATCATGCCGAGGTATTCGATAATATCGACCGTTTTAACGCCCAATTCCTGAAGAACCGTCGTTATCGAGAACAACACCGCGCCGCCAAGACAAAGCATATCGCCGACAAGTTGATTTTTCCCTAACATGTTGAAACATTAAACATTAATTTTTTTCTTACTCTCTTCTATCGCGAAATAGCCTATTTGTGGCCCAGGATTTATAAACCAGTATATTTATAGTCAATTCTTAAGACGGTTTGAAGATCTTATAAACATAAACCAATCACAGAACCGTATTAGATTTTAAGATATTACTCAAGATGGACTTAAGACTGTTTTAAATTTAAAAAACCGTTTATGTTTAAATATAAGAATTAACTATGAATATCGGCCTATTGGCATTCTATTCATCGATAATTACCAGTAGCAGTGGGATCGTTATTGTCATCTATACCAGCCCAAACCAGGCATCCCACGCCCATCAAGCAGACGGATACGCCGACGATGTGCACCATTCTGTATCTGACGCCCAATACCAGAAATGAAAGTACCAACGCGACCGGTATCGCCACACAGTCAAGAAGCTAAAATATTTTATAGCCTTTTTATAAAAGTTTATATATTAGCCATATTTGTGTGTGTGTGTGTATATATATATATGTGTGTGTGTGTGTATATATATATATATATAGTAAGGGGGAAAAGCGAGTTAGAGACACGCAACAATGGATAATTCATAAAGCGCGCAATGCGTTTGATTAAGAATGAGTGACTCGAGCATGAGGGAACGAGCATTGTTGGGTCGAAAACCCAACGTTCTCTCTTCCGCTATGGCTATTACAATGCTTATTCCGTACGCCATTCATAGTTGATATGAATATTACTATGCCAGATAATGCAAACTCAAACTGCGAGAGGAAAGTTGCGTACTCGAGTAGGAAATCGTATATTAAACAACATCGACAGAAATCGCATTTGAATTGAATTTAAACGTGAGCGGAGGTAATCACAAAACAAATATTTTTTTTTGCGAATTATTCAATGAAGCTTAAAAATTGTAATACAATAAACATAAAAAATTGATGAAAAAAATAAGTATCGAAAAATATGTACTCTTCAAATTCTTTGAAGTGGAATCTCACTCTAAAGAAAATTGACCCAGTCTTGGAAAAGAATGACTCAATTTTTAATCTTTAAGATTTTTTAATCTTTATGTGAGATTTTATTCTTCAGAGTAAGATTTGCTCTAAAAGTTTTAGAAAGTAAGAATTACTCAATAATATATGGATTTTCCAAAACAAGATTTATTAATTGTTACCTATATTTTTGTACTGCTCTTACAATAAACAGTATTTTGAAGTTCTTTATGTATGTACATACCTGTATACTAGCGAGACTGGTATATTGATGCGACGATGTAATAAGAGTGCACGCCTCAACGTCAATCAGTGCTAAGAACAAATATCTCCAGCCACGAGCTCGTATGACGGAAATTAAGCCATTCCGTCGGGTAGACTAAACACATCATCACGTAGTGTGGAACATTTTGCCCTGTCTCGCAAAAACGATAATAATTAATTAGCCGCGCAAAGTTTCATGAACTTGAAATTGCTATAATTTAGTCACTTTAATTTCCGACGCTGAAGGCACAAAACAGTTTTTTTTTTTAATAAATAAGTTACCTGTTGGGAGCGAGAGCTTGTAGGAACCGGTGTTTATGTAATGATTTATGAATGTCATGAAGCACAGCACCAGCGAGAGGAACTGGCCCATTATTATCGCCCTCCATACTGCCCTATTTGATAATTCATTAATAAACATTGGTACGTATTCCAAGAATGTACAAATGTGTACCTTAAAATATATCTAAATATAATACTACATGATATTGCGTTTGTAAACAGATTTTAATATCTTAAAAGTCTAATATCTTTAAGTATTAATAATTTTATATTAAATCAATTAATGTCAATTAGTGTCACTTTTTAATGCCATAAAGATTAGTATTTAAAATTTATTTATTCTCAATAAGAATATATCTTATTTTAGACTGTACATGTGAGAACACAATCGATAAATTAGAAGCCTATACCGGTCGAAGGATCTTTAATACTTTTTAAATAATTTCTATGTGAATTAATATATTAAATATATATCAATAAAGGAATGTAAAGCCAATGAAAGCTGATACAATTGTACGTGTGTAATCAAGAATAATATATATGTATATCCATCACCAATTACAGATATTTCGACCATAAACTCTCACACGTTCTCAAGACTTAGTTATAAGTACATCGCGTTATAACGGATCATCGTTATGCTGAGTACAATGTAAGTTTTATCCAACTGATACAATCTATTTTAATATTTTGACTACAATTAAAATTTCATAAATTTCATATTAACTCGATTATATATTAACTCGATTTTAGTTAAATGATTGAATTCTTGTTTGAGTATCTAGCTAAGTATCACAGACGATAATGAAGTTGTTAATTTTGGACAACAGCCTAACGATTCACTAACAGCATTTACCTTATTGTTTTACAACGCATCAATTTTGATTCCGATTTATTGTTACACTGAAGATGACCTAATCCTATGATCGAAACGTCTGTAATTGATGATTGATATATATATTATTTTTATGATTACACACGTACTGTGTCGGCTCTCATTGGCTTTACATTTCTTTATTGATTTAATCTTTGGAGCCTTTTTTAATTTTTATTTCAATTACTAAATATAATTATTTGAACTACGCGTCGAAATGATTTTTCGAAAATATAAACGCAATCAAACTACTATAGTATTATCACAAATTAAATTGATAAGTAATTTAATAATTTGATGTTCAATCTGGCATTCTATTAGAAAGATATTAATGTATTGAAAAACTGTAAATAAATTTATTGCGAAAAATATTACCTCGACCGGGAGTCGACCCGGATCTCTTGTATTCCGTATATTTATATATTCTGTTGAAAGATTTATGTAGCTAATTTTTCTAACTATAGATTAAAACATTTTTTTGACAAATAGTTAAAGCAATCAAATCAGGATTAGAGCAACGAATTAGCACATAAAAAGCATTAAATTCTCATATATCAAAATTTGATTGTGCTCATATTGGCATGTTATCTTAATAGACATAGACGTCCATTAAGATAGCACGCCAATTTGAACAGAATCAGGTTCCAATGTACGGAGAATTTAGTGCTCTTTATGTACTAATTTATTGCCCTAATTTTAATTTTATTATTTTTAATCAATATTTTAATAATTATTTTTAGTAAAAAATCGGTTTTATGCTAATTTGTAAATTAAAAAAATTAGAATGCCTATTAAAAATGTTAATAATAATAATAATAATGTTTACATCGTAATTTAGTGCTAACTATGTGTTTTTAATATACCTTAGTTTAAATTTCGGTGCATTATCCTTCACGTCATAAACAACCCCGAAACATATATCGTTTCAAGAAAAAATACCTAAAGTAATAAACATATAATAAAAACATTTATATTATAATTTAGAATTCATCAAGTATTAATTTGATAGTTTGCTGTTGCATGATATGTGTTTTGGTGTTGTTTCAGTGAAGTGTAGCGCACCGAAACTACGGTTAAATTACCAAAATTTAAATTCCAGTTGAAATTTAATTTTTTTATATTCTAGTAATATGTATTAAAAGCATATAGTGCTAAATTATGGTATAAGCCTTATCATTATTATTTTTAATGGGCATTCTAACTTTAAAAGTTAGCATAAAACCGATTTATGTTGTTAAGCAATTAGAGCAATTAAAATTAAAGCAACAAATTAATACATAAAGAGCATTAAATTCTTCGTGTTAACGTATTGCACTAATTCCGATTTTATCCTACGTTTTCGTTTCTTCTGCTGGTTTGATTCTATTTAAATCAATGTCTATATGTTGTGGATCTCATTTAGATGATTTTTGTAACGGTATCTTTTGCAGCTGTTAAAAATTGTGCAAATCATCAGAAGAAACCTCAGCGTAATCGCGCACGAAGTATCACAATTACTCTGATGTTTATCGTCACAATTACCCCGTACATTGAATTGACAGTAGGGTAATTATGATGTTTAATTAAAAAGTGTTATACACACTATTAATTATGCTATGTCCTTGACAAAACATTAATTTAGATTCATAGTAATCTTGAAACAATGAATATTTAAAACGACATAATCTGGAAAAAAATTGACATTGAATTGATATTTGTAAACTTTAGTAACCTAATCTTTTTATAATACTTTACACATTTGATAATTGTTATAACATAAAATTTTTGTATTTCAGACTTGTATCAATTTAAAGTCAAATTATCTTCAAACATAGAATAACATGAAATATAAAGTCTTTTTAAATTTTAATACATAAACAATTAGATATTGTCACAATTACTACGGTTGAGCCTATTATAAAAAATAAGAAACTGATTTTCTTTAAATAGAAATTTACATATTGAACTTAAATTTAACTATATTAAATATTTGTGTCCCGGTGTTTAAGTAGTAACGCTTGACGTTGGTCAGACTAAGATTGGCTATATCCCGCTTTCGAGGCGACTATGCAAAAATATAAGAAATACCGCGTAAAAATAAACGCTTAATTTAGATGACAGATAATACTTTATAGTGGCAAATTTTTATATCAATCATACAAAAATGATTGAAATTATTAAAAATATGTAAGATTACTAAAATACACATATCTTAACATAGAGATCTACGAATTTCACACATCCAGAAACCATGCAAAAGATACACCAACACTAGCGCATTCCGAATTTTGGAAATTGTATTATCACGTATATTGATTTGTTTTATTTTTATTACTCTAATTTTTGAAACTTCGATTGATATATATTAAATCATCGTGATTGCACTACGATTGTTGTTATGCCAATTGTGAAAAGCTACGACGAAACGTAGCTAAACACCCGCCACTTTTATCCCTGGGTCATTCGCCCCCTTGCGCCCGTCCCCACCGACTTTGCTGGGCGGCACAGGGCGGAAAATACACGCAAAGGCTCCTGCGAGCGTCTAAGGTGACCACCCCGACGTTTACTCACGTACCATCGGCCTAACTCGGATATGTAATTTTCGATTTTGTCACAAACGCCATTCCTGGCCTGCATCGCTGAATTTTGAGCGCCGTGACGATCGCCCGCCGATCCTCCCATGCCATGGTGCATTTTCACCCTGAAAGCGGCTGAAGGCTCCTCGCCGGCGAGCGAGTACTGATGCGATGCGCTTGCGCGACCTCCTTCCGCCGTTAGTGCGGAGGGACACGCCGTTACTCTTGTTGTTCCTCTTTCATTTCCCCGGGGGTGCATGTCGCGACGGGAAATGCGAGATTTTACTATGCAGGGATAGACATCGATACGACACGGCGTCATAACGTCATGCGGAATTCCGCTAGCGCTTCATCGATCTCAAAACTGATTAAGAGGAACGAAATCTTTTTTGATAAAATTCTCTTTCCGATATTATTTCAATGAAAATAAAAAAGGAATTTTTAATAATTTTTGAAATTTGAAATAGGTATATTTTTAAAATTTTTTCCGTACATAATCAGTCTAAGTAAATTAAATAAGAATGTAATGATATTAATAATTTGTAGATTCTAACACATTTTTTATATATTTGTAAATTTTAACATAATTTTGAAGTTACTCTGTGAAGATAAAGCTAATACTTAAGTTTTTTAATTAAATTTGAAAAAAATATATAAGTGATGTGCACAAGGTTAAAGAGAGATTCTAGTATAACGAAATAAAGAATTATGTCTTTATTTATTACCAGATAGTCCTGCTGTAGAATTTTATTTACAATATATTGACATTCTCAGATATATGAGAATGATGCCCAGTCATATAATGTCCAAAAAGTTCTCACTTTCATATAAGTCAGAAAAAGATTTGCACATTACATAAACTTTAAACATCTTTAATTTTATTTATTCTATCATTATATATCTCAAACTTGTTATCGCTTTTCGTATTTTATGCGATGTAGCATAAAATTATACAGTATAGATCATCCGACGTATGAAAAGAAGGCAATATTATAACGCTATGAATATGTAAATTTGTGCAGTCGGTTCCGCCGTTTCCAACGATTTAACAATAACATACCGCCGATCGAAGGAAATCGAGCTTTTGTCAATGATTTTGCTATCTAGTGTTAGAAATATAATCTAAAAAAGAAAATTACTGGTTTTGATGATACAGTTTATGCCCTTTTTTACAAAGTTGGAAAAATATGTTCAATTTTATTCCCCCGATGCGGTATCAGACACGAATTTCTCTATAATCCTCATTACACGCAGTACGCAATTAATGCATTACATTCACACGTCAGAAAGTCTATTAGTTAGCCGGAATAAATTACCAAGTGGAAAACGGAGGCATAAGTTTACAAGATAAAAATTCTTTCTTTGTCGTTATGAGGTAAGATGTAGAACTTTCGAAATTTGATTTTTAAATGAGTGCTATCCACGCACTCTCGATGAGCAAAAATTTATGCGAAATTATCGAAGACACTTCGAAGACTGTTCGATGAGAGAGTCTCTTCGTCAAGTAAGATCGATCGTTTCTATTGGTCACCTTAATTAGAGTCAGGATTAATTTTATTTTTTCTTCGCTTCTTCTTCTACTGTCTCGTTCTGCTTGCGGAAGCAGTCGCCCACCGGGAAGAAATCCCAACACCTTTGTTGATACATATTCCACACGTAAGTCTCCTGACCAGTGTATTCGGTGTCTGGTTTGTTAATCAAGTGCATAAGGAAGAACCTGTGATTTAAAATCATATAGAAATTGATGATATAAAGTTTTTTTCTGATATAATGATTGTAAAATTAAAAGCATAAAATATTTATAAACATTTACATGTAATTTGCTAAATTATGTTCTTGTTGCACATGAGTATCGAACCCATGCGGTACCGCGTCGAAATATTCCTTTCCTAAACCACAAATGAAGCAGTTACTCTCCATATTTGTCTTCACATTATCGAGCTGATCTCGAAGTTCGCCGAACGCATCGATGATCAAACCTAAGGATCAATCGCGATGTAATATTGTTTTTTTTTTCTGCTGCAATCGGGGATCAATCGATTATACTCACCCTGAATGATAGCCAACAGAATGACAATCACGAAGAAGAAGAACGTAATGTCGAACATTATACGATAAACCTCGTAATCGTCACCGTCAGGTTCACCAATTTCATCGCCTATACCACCCCCGGCTCTTACGCCTTTGTACAAATGGAAAACGAAACACTGAAAGTAAATAAAGAAATGCATCAACAGCTTCAAATTAAAATAACACAAAGTTTATAGATGAAATACATTATAATTAAAAAAAGATTTTTTTACGTATTTCTGTATAACATACTGTTAGCATATGATGACATTTCTTGTCTGTTTCGTCTTCCTCCTGTATATAGAACTTTCTGAAGAAATTGAAGGCTATCACAGTGTAGATGTATACTACGATCGTCAGTAGCATCACTGTTAAGACCAACTGCTTGCCGTTATGTGTTACCGATTGTAAGATTGTTCGTAAAGTTTTGAAACCGACCGCGACGTCTAACAGGTGAGCGGCGAAGAAGAAATTGTTGTAGTTGCCGAGGATTGAAAATGTAAAGTACCACAAACTGTACAAAAAAGCCTAGAAATCAAATACGTACATATATAAGTATTTAATTTAAATAATTTACATATAAAATACATGAATTAATCTCGCTGAAAATTTACTTGAAAGAACTTACGTTATCGGTGATCGTGACTCCGGCCTTCCATATTTGATATCTCCAGTCGATATTTACAATACTATAAAAAATTACTTTTTACATTAAAGACTCTCACGGAAAGATTTGAGATATTATCACAATATCTACTTACAAATGTATTAAGCCAGATCCTTCATCTTCCTGCTGGCTGAAAGAAGTCTTTTCCATTCCGAGCAAATTGCTGATGTAATCGAAATCGTACGTCTCGCTGTATTTTTGTCGGACTTTCTTCTTTACAAATTTGTCCCAATAATTAACGGGGAAAGTCTTTGCTGATATTACCATTTTATCCCAGTGCGCTTTAATGTCATCTTCTTCTGGTGTTTCGGCTATGTATAATCCATCGAATTCTACTCGTCGTGCAATTTCCTTCTCTCGTTTGAATATGGCCAATGGTACCTGAATAAATATAAATATTTTGTAATTTCACTTTTTAAATTACAATAATTATATGAGTACATATGTCTACCATTGAATTAAAATATTTTGTCAATAGAAAACGTTATAGAAAAAAAATATTCAAGATTTATTGTGTAGTTATTGTTATTATTCGCGTTTCAAGTCACCTTTAAATGATAATATGCGACGAGCATAGCGAGTGAAACGATTGAATGAAGAGCAGCCAGTAACCTCATGACGTGAGCCATATAATAATAATCCTCAGACACTTCTACAAATTCCTGAACCTCTTCGTCTTCCTCTTCCGAACCGTTTTCACCACTACCGCTGCCTATTTCCATACCACTACCTATCAAACCCGATGTCCCCTCGCCTGATATTTCCGTTAACAAATCCGCTATTTGTCCACTACTTTCTTCGTCCGAGTCATCAGCCAAAGACGAAACCTAGATTTAAAATTAGCATACATAAAAAACCGATATACACGCAAAATTTGAATTTATAGAGATAATCTTAGATTTTTATATTTAATTTATTGCGTTTGCACAGAAAAAAAAATCATAATAGAAAATGTTGATAAACCTTATAGAATAGCAGCATAAAGTTGATACAAAAGGCGAGAACTAGCGCGACGTATTTCAGATTGTAGAAATTCCTGGCTAAGAAGGATACTATACGATGACTATATTCGGACAGATCGATGCTCGATCCTGTGGAAGGTTCGACTGAAATTTCTTGCTTTGCTTCGGCTTCAACTGCTGCCATGGCTGCTTGTTGTGCCGCCGCTGCTTCTGCCGCTGCGGCAGCTTGCGCTCTGGCTTGTTCTCCGCTAAACAAATATTGTAACAAAGCATTTAATTAACAAAAAAAAATTTACAATAATTTATTAATTAATTATTATCTAAATTTAGTTAACATGCAGTAAAATGAAAATATTCTATTTTTTTAAAAAAGAAGATAAAATAATACTAATATAAACGATATTGTTATAAACAAGAAAGTACGCATTTTTCAGTGCAATTTGTTTTAAGCATGATTTTTTCAGGTTGAAATATCGTAATTTAAAGATATATTAATATCTGCTGCAAGGATGCTAATCGTTTCGAAGTGAAATTAATTATATTTTTGTAATTAACTGATGATATCTTACGATCTAATTATCTTAGGTACATGATTCTGCGTTCATTAGAAGCGCTAAAGTTTCAGCTTTCCAACGCGACTAGGATCATCTCGCTGCTATTTTTCTATGCGAAGATATTGTCGATTATATCGACCTGTGATTTTAATCCATAGGCGAGGCCGCCTCACTCACCCGTTCGCATTGCGAAACACGTGTCAAGCGATTACTATTGGTCAGCTGATCAGCTGACCGTAGTAGTAGTATAGTAACGTAGTAACATAAGCGTCACATGCACGTGACACACAAGCGCACGCCGTACTTATTCATAATTCGTACGCGCCCGCCGGATTTTCGGAGCGCTATAACTCAATGAAAAATTGTCGTAGCGACATGCGGCAAACGCGTATTTTCTTCGTTTCACGATCTGCAGATACCGTAAAACTTAGGCCCAATTTTGACAATGTCGAAACATGACGAATGTCAAAATTTGAACAACATAAGGCGTTTTAAAAACGTCTTAAAAATATTTTGAGACATCTTATATTCTGATTTTAGAATATAAGTGCGTACTATTTAGGCATTCTTTTTTAATTTGTATTAAAGTTTTCTATTTTGCAGCACATTTTGCACCATGGCACATAAACTTAAATTTAATAACGTTAAAAATAAAATTATAAAATAATTATAATTTTATGGATTATTTAATTATTTTTCATTAATGGACTAATATTTATACTATATTTATACTAACCCAAGTAGATCAGCTAAAGTAACAGGCGACTCGCTTTCTCCTCCTTCAGCTCTCGCTCCATCCTCGCCAGTACCCTCTTCGGGTGTACTCTCACCTGTTTCTTCGATACTGGATTGCGGCGTAGAAGTA